CCTTCCCTCCCAGCCTCAGCTTCCTGAGGGCTATCAGAGGACCTCCTGATAGAAAGATGGTGAGGTTATAATAGACAGTTCATTGCAGCGCCTCGCAGGGAGCCAGCAGCCCTGCAGCAGCCCCTGCTCTCCCGAATACTAACATCCCAATGGATCTCCGGGATGGAAACTTCTTCCCACAGTCCAGAATCTCAATCACTTGCCCATGTGTGTTCTGCTAGTGGCGCTGTTTATTTGTTTGCTTCTCTTGAGCCCCACCGGCAGGCCTTCACTCCTCCTCAGCCTCCTTGTCTGCAGGGCTTGCCTCCTGGTCTGTTTGCTCCATGCAGACTAGGAGCTTCACTTGTAGCTAAGAGCATGCCTCGGCTCTTCCAGAGGGAAGCGTAGTTTGACTGTGATACGGGTATAATCAGGGGGTCCTCTCCGGCAAAATGGAACGTGGCCTGTCTCTCTACCTGAAGCAGCCATCGCTGCCCAGGTTCTCTCCTCGCCTTCCAAGGCCTGCTGCCTGGGCCCCTGACCCTGGACATCCTTAATTGCTCCAGCACGTCTTGTGCTCCCAGTCTCTGCACATGCTGTTCCCTCTGCCCAGAATGTTCTCATGTCCACTTCTCCCCCTTTTAATTCCTTTTCATCTTTGGAGACTCTGCTTAAGAGTCATTTTGGCACTGAGATGTATGTCCCTTCGCAGCCTGTCAAAGACCCTTGCCGTAAGCTCCAGGGCACCATGCTTTTGCTCTTAGAACAGCCATCGCGTTTGTAAATATTTTGTAATGGGGTCTGGTGGGAGACGAGGGCTGGGATTTCCCTACACCCATCGGTGGTAGGGCGCACCCACCTCTGTCAGGCACGTGGCACGAAGTGTAGGCTCGCTGGGCTGCGCTGTAACATCCATGATGACAAGAATCAGGTCTGTCTGGTGTGTCACTGTCTCTCTCGCCACCAACACCATTGTTGAGCCAGAGAAAGGCTCATTAAATCCTGGGACTAGCAACAGTGGGAAGTTGTAAGCAGTTTTCACTCCTTGGTGTGGGCAAATGTCTTAGCTCTCTTTAGGACTTTCCTGCAGCCTAAAATAGTTCCTCCTGTTTCCTGGGGATTTGGATTGTAGATGATACTTCTCCCTGTGTCTACCCAGAGAACAGCCAGCCTGGCTTGGGGAAGTGACTCAAAAGCAATGGGTGTGTGTGTGTGGGTGGGGGGGTGGGTGTGTGTATGTGTGTGTGTGTTAGGGGATGTTGATGAGGGAGGTCCACATGAAAATAATGGAAAAGACGAGCAGAACTGTTCTGGAATTCCGTGTGCAATCTCAGGGTGCTTCCTGAGTCTCAGTGAGAACTTTTGTGAGCAGATGCTGACCCGGGACCATGCTGGGGCCTCTCGGAGATGAAAGGAAGCTGAGGTCTTGGCCTTCAGGGACTTTTTGCTCTTGGCGTTCCTGTGTTTGATTAATACATATTGAGAGGGGTCCTAGAGTGGATCCTGGCTTCTCCTTCTAGGGTCACTTGGGTGCCTGGCCACATACCACTGTGACCTATTGGTGGATTTTTATGCCCTGTGTCCCCAGCCAAGTGGTGAACCCTCTGAAAGCAGGGATGTGTGTTATGTCAATGACACACGTGTTGCCTGATGTACTCATATACAGCACAGAGGTTGTCAACTATGCATGTTTGTTCTCTGTCACCTTCACTCTCCATCTTTGGTGGTTTTGTTTGACTTGAATGTGTGTGAATATTATTTAATTTGTTCATCATTAGAACAACCTCACATGCCACAGATTTGCAGATAGATCTTGTCAACACTGACTGTGTTCTGAACAGGCTTAGAGATGACTATCTTCTTAGCAGTAATGAAAAACCACCCCAGTGGTCAGATCACACATATGAATGTCTGACTCCATGAAGTTAGGCCCTAACGTATGGCAGTGAAATTGCACCATTTTTTCCCAAGAGTGTGTGGCTTTCTAGAGCTTGCATGTCCAATACCACACTTACCCAGGCAGCCACTGGCCATCTAATTAGGGGCAGAGTCACTGCTTCAGTGGAAGAAAGCCTGACAATGGCGTGCATATAGGCTGGAATCAAACAACCATCGACTCCTGCTTCCTTCCTGCTTTGTCTGCTCAGTCTCCTGGGGATGTGAGCAGACATGGGCGTATGGAAACCAACTGCGCCCGTCTCCTTGTCAGTGATAAAGCCACACAGAGGCACCCTTCGCCAGTTTGCGCCATATGCTCACCAATTAAAACTCAAATGCATGTCACATGCTCGGCTGTTGGAAACACATTTTTGCTTTGATGTGGCTATTCTGAAGTTAATGTGTGCAAGAACATATGCTTTCTGTCAACCAAATGATGACACTGCTATTGCTAAAACTATGCTTTTGCCATGCTTGTAAAATGGATAGGGCTTTGTATCTCTTTGCTAAATACTCTATTATCTGATGAAAAAGAAATTACCATAAAAATTCCTTCAACACCACAGGGAATTTTTCTCAAAGGCATGCCCACTCTTTCCCTGTACCAGCCCAGTTTCTGCTTTTAAGGAAAAGTGCCTGACATGCCCATTCTTAGACACGTGAACTCTCAGTCATGCCCTTTCGTGTCCTCCTGTTACCGCCACCCAGTGCATCTCTGCCCAGAAACTTTGCTATCATATAACCGTCCTTCTTGGGGATACACAGCAGGGACAGCCCGTAGGCAACAGGGGCCTTCACTGCCCCAGGCCTCACCTCCCTCCAGTCTCCCAGGGAAGCAGGCTCCTGTATTAGGCTAGAGTCCCCAGCATAAGATGTATAGTGCTTCATTAAGCCACAAACAGGCAGAAGGGAGAGGCCCTCCGCTCCCTATACCAGTTCCTACCTGAAGGGCATTGAGGTAGAGGGTTTCCCACGGAGGAGTATTTCCTCCCTGTGGTGGCTGGAAGTTACCCAAGGACAGAAGGAAAGGCTGGCGTTTCATCCTCCCTGCTGTCTGCTTCCCTCCCAAATTCCCTGACGCATTCTCAGAGGAAGGCAGCCTGAGAGCAGATGAGGGGCGGGGGTGCTAGACCCAGTGAGTCCTGGCAGCATGACTTCTTGCTGGGAAGCTGAGGGCAACTGGGCCCCCTGCCCATTGAGGCCTGAGCTTTCCTCTCCTGTAGTAATGCCACTGCCTGGCCTGCTGGGCACACTTCATTGCTAGCCATCCCCACTCACCTGAGCTGGCAAGATGCCTCCACAAAGGCCCCCAATCTGCTTGTTCTTATGAGGTCTGGGCAGGTCTCTCACAGTTCCCACCACGTGCAGATCATGGCTGAAATTCCGTATTGCTTTGAATAATGTATGCTTGCCTAGGGCTCAAGCACACACTCTTATGGGCACGCTGCCAGGATTCCAGCCATGTGGCTTTGCCCAGCCGTGACAGCCAGGCCCTCAGGGGTGACCCATCCTCCTTTGGCCTTCACATGTGGTAGTTGGCTCAGAACTTCTTTATATTCTCAATCATTTTGCTACCCATTTACAGCTCACAGCTGAGAATTTTGCTCAGCAAAAACATGCAAAGCCACACTGTGCCATTCTCTGACCCCTAGAGGATGACACCCATGGTTACATGAGCATTTTTATCTGGTACAAGCATCAAGTCTCTGTTCTTTTTTTTTTTAAAGATTTTTATTGGGGAATTGGGGGATGGGAACAGTGCTGGGGAATTGGGGGAAGGGGAACAGACAAGTTGCTGTCCTTTTGTTCTTCAGTCTAGTTGTGGAGGACGTGGCTTCACTGGCCCAAGTTGGCACCATCATTGTGCTCTTCCCGAGTGAGGCAGATCAGTCGCCAGCTTCTGGATGGCCACTCACTGCGGCTGCTGGCCACTCATTCTGGCTGCTGGCTACACACGGTAGCCCATGGCAACCCACTGCCACAGGGGCTGCAGCCTACGCCATCACCAGCGACTCACAGTAGCCCAGCTCCAGGTTGAGCTGTTGTTCAGCATCATAGCTGTGGAGGGCAGTGTCACTGGCCCTCATATGTGGGATCTGAACCGGGGCCCTCTAGTGTCCCAAGCCAGTTCTTAACCATCGTACCACTTGGCTGGCCCAAGTCTCTGTTCTTGATAGGTTTACAAATGGTCCTGTGCCCATGAGGGAGTCTTCTACATACCTTTCAAAATTATGGGCTAACTTTATATTATTGGCAAACATAATTCAAGCAAAGAGTGACAGGCCGCATTGGCAAAGCCACTGATAAAACATTGGGCTGCTACCTGCTTGTCAGCTTGATCACTATGGATTGTTTTCCTCTTTCTCTAAAGAGGCAAAAGGATCATGTACTAGTTTTCTATTGATGCATAACAAATTAACACAAAGATAGTGATTCAAAATGACACCCATTTATTATCTCACAGTGTCCATAGGTCAGGGTCCAGCATAGCTCAGCTGTGTTGTTGGCCCTAAGTATCACAAGGCCATGATCAAGGTTGTGCTGGCTGGGCTCTTCTCAGGAGGCCCTGAGAAGGAACTATCTCCAGGTTCTTCAGGTTGTTGGCAGAATTCAGTTTCTTCTGCTTGCAAGACCGAGGTCCCTGTTCCTTGGTTTCTGTCAGTCAGAAGTCGCTCTCAGCTTCTTAGAGGTTACCCACATTCCTCCTCACATGGCCCCTCCATTTTTAAAGCCAGCAGTGACATATCAATTCTTTCTACTGCTTTTAATCTCTTTCTTCTCTGCTGCTAATCAGAAAACACTGCTTTTAAAAGGCTCACCAACTTGGATCAGGCCCACCTGGATAATCTTCATGTTTTAAGGTCAACTGACGAGACTTGAAGGTCAGTTGCATAATCCCTTCCCAGCAGTGCCTCGATTTGTGTTTGATGGAATCACCAGGGGACTGGAATCTTGGGGGCCATCTGTAGAATTCTGCCTACCACAGACAGCACAGAGGAGTCAACCTCACATCCATTCTCACACCTCACTTGAAAATTCCAAGAAATTTCTGTTGTGATTGTAATCTCCGTTGTTTCCACCAGCGAGCACCAGGGACCCTGAGCCTGAACAGGAGGCAGAACCGGAACCAGAGGCAGAGGTGGGGCAGGTGGTGCAGGAGACCAGCCAGGAAGTAACCCCTGCCTGTGTGGGGCCTGAGATTGAAGTGGAGCCGGAGCCGGAAGAGCGATCCTCCCTCAGTGAAAAAGAGAGACGGAATGAGGAGGTGAACGAGAGGGACAACTGCTCTGCCTCTAGCATCTCATCCTCCAGCAGCACATTAGAGAGGGAGGAGAAGGAAGACAAGCTCTCCAGGGACAGAGGAACGGGTAATAAAGCCGCTTTTGTTCATAAACACATCCCAGGGAACCCTAGGGCAGGGGATCTGGTTTGCTGGCCTCTGAGGTGACCTGTTGGCTCAGCTCACTCACTGAGCTGTGTCACTGGGTGTCTGGAGGTGAGGAATGTGCCCACATTGTCAGCCAGCGGCTTCCTGCCCTATAGAAAGGGGGCCCCCACACCCTCGGCCATGCTGTTGCAGCATCACTTCCACAGGTGAGAAAAAGGCCTTATCATGAGGGCAACAGAGAACTTTTCCTGAGGAGTAAGCCCTAAAAGAGAAAGAGAAATTTTTTCCTCCTTTTCTTCTAATTGTTGATAGTAAGTGTAGCTTTTTTCTGATTTAAATTTAGAGACGTGCTCATGTTGTTATCTACTCACTTGAAAGAGATTTTTCAATGAAGTGTGTTAAATCATTATGATTGAACATTTTAGACCAGAGCAAAGTTGTTAAAAAGAATTGAATGAGTACTTCCAAAAAGTGCTAGTTCACAGTGTGCTGAGGTCAAGCTGATGTGTTCTATTGGAATACATATACTTTAAGTAATTTTCTGCAATATACTCAGGATGACTCTCTTCTTTGGTATATAAAGTACATGCTCTTCCTTATGGAATTATGTCTTTTTGGTATTATACCTGATATTCATTCAGTTCATCTGTGTAATGGCGACTTTATAATTAGGGACCAAATGGAATGTTAGTCCTCAGTAGGAACTTGCAGAGGGAGCCACAGAAGGTTATAGGAATTATAAATAATTTATATAATCATTTGAATTATAATTCATATGCGACACCATGGAACTGGTTTTCCAACCCATGACTTGTGTGCTGTTAGGGTGGCAAGGAGCCACTTCTCTCAACTAATAGTCCTCACCCATGGGAGCATGTCTTACAGGCCAGCCTTCATTCAGCAACAGTGACATGTACTCAAGAAGCCTATATCTTGGGCCTCAAGGGCAGCGTGAAGGCTCCATAGCAGCCTACCAACCAATGGTGTGACCCATGCATAGCTTGTTAGTTCACAGACTAAGAATACACTATCTCTGAAGCATGGATAAGTGAATGAAAATTGAATGAATGAATGAAGCCATATGTCTCCCATGAGAACTGTCAATCAGTGGCTTAATCTAAAATAGTTAATATTCCAGTTATAATATATTAGATTTTATTCTCTATATTGCTAGTCACTATGATGCAGTACAAAAAGAGGATGGAAAGACTTTATTAGTTTATGTCTTAGGAATTATTACATTGAAAATCTTGTGCCTGCTTGAAAATGTATGTGCTAAGAGGTATTACCTATATTGATACTGACTTAATTTCTTTCAAAGTGAGATTATAGTTAGTCTCCCAAATTCTACTTGTTGTTATTCACATTTAATGTATTTATGGTCATAGTACAGGGTGAACGTTAGTCTTCTTGATAAGTTTGGCCTTAAAATATTTTATTTGTTTTGAATTGCTTTAAGAAGTATTCATCATAACTAGGTTTAGCAGGCCTAAAACATATCAACAAGTTGGCTTAGTAAAAATAGGCTAGGGAACAGAACTTTCTTGGATCAGATTGTCCAATATCCTTCCAAATAAGGACAGCTTTCCAAAAATCAAAACTCTGTTCCCAGTTACGAACCATGGACTTTCTACCAAAAGCTGGTGGCATCCAAGCGTATCAACTCAGAAATTAGGGCTTTGCAGTGATTTTTCTGCTTCAGTCTGGTGCTGTTAAGAGATGTGATCAGTTTTGTTTGTTGTAACTTACTGGTTCATGAAAAATCCCTCAGTACACAGGCACCATCAACAGCTATGAAGCCAGGGCACCTCTGTCAGCACAGCTCTTGCTTTTCAGAATGTTCTCAACGGAATCATCTTATAATCATATTCCAATCTTATTTCTAATGATTGTACCTGTTACTCGAAAATGAGTTTGTAGGGCTTGAAAGAGATTCAACTTATTCCAGTTCTGTGGTTTTCTTTCTCTTTGTTTTGTGTGTTCTGCTCCATGACATTAATGTGAAAGTCTTTATCATAGCATTCATCATACTTTGTTGTAATTACTGGTATAATGGTCTTTTGTCTCTGCTTGACTGTAATAAGCTTTTAGAGGATGAGGATGTTTGTCTTGTTCGTTGTGAGTCCTCACTTCCTCACTGAGTGCTCAGAACATAGTAGGGGCTCACAAAACTGTTGATGAATAAATGAATGAAAAGTCATCTGGCTAAGGTGGAGACGCTCCATTGCTCCTAAGTCCTCCCTCTTAAAATTTCAACATCCTGGGCATAACAGAACAACCAATCATGGAAGGACTCTGAAAGGTGGAAAAAAGAAGGCAGGCTGCCTAGGGACCTTCAGACTTTAATGAGATGGCAGTGAAGCTCCAAGTACAGTCTATTTCCCTAGCCAAAGGATTGGGAAAAGGAGTGCTTAACAGAACAGAAAGTCTTTTTGGCTATTAATACACGTCCTGCCCTAGATAAGCACTGATGGAAAAATCTGTTGCTGCCCAACTCCCCTCTTCCCCGGCCCCCAACTAACCAGATGTGTCAAGCATGAACTCTTCAAGAATGAAGGGAAAATAAAGACAGTTAAAGAAAAACAAAGAAAATTTGTCACTAGCAGACCTGTCTTAAAGAATGGATAAGTTCTTTGAACAGAAAGAAAATGAGGACAGAAGAAGACTTGGAATTTCAGAAAAGAACAACAGAATGGGTAAAAATAGGAATAAATTAAAAAGGTTGTCTTTTTCCTCATGAGTTTCTTAAATCATATTTGATGGTGGAAGCAAAAATTATAGCGAGTTTGATGATGTGTTCAGGATATGTAGGGGAAATACTTATAACAATTGTATTTTAAAATGTGGGGAGGGTGAAGGAATCTAAATGGGATTAAGGTTTCTACACATCAAAGAAGTAAAACATCAATACCAGTAGATTAATGAGTTTGTATATTACAATAACTAGAGCAACTGATATGAAAATCCATGAAGCAATGTACTCCAAAACACTATAAATCAAATTGAAATTCTAAAAAAAGTTTAAAGTAACCCACCAAGACCAAGAAAGGAGAAATAGGAACTAAAACAAAGAGAACAAACAAACAAAATGGCAGACTTAGACCCTAGTATATTAATAATTACTTTAAATTAAAAGACTGAGATTTAGTGCTGCAATAAACATACGGGTGCTTATATTTTGTTCAAATTAGAGTTTTGGATTTCTCTGGATACACACCTAAGAGTGGAATTGCTATTGCTGGGTCATTTTCAGTTTTTTGAGATACCTCCATACTGATTTTCATAGTGGCTGCACCAATCTGCAGTCTCACCAACAGTGCACCAGGGTTCCCTTTTTCCCACACTTGGTGAGAGGTGTAAATGTCTAACTATTATTGGGTTGTCGGAAAAGTCATGGTGCATTTTTGCAATGAAAAACATAGAAAAATTACGTCCTGACTTTTCCGACAACCCAATACATTGTTTTGTACACCTGCAACTAAGTTTAGAAAAAGGAAAAGACTGAGATTTGCAGAGTGGATAAAATCCCAACCCAACTATATGCTATCTATACAAAACTCATTTCAAATACAATGACATGGGCAGGTGAAAAGTTAAAAGTTGGGGAAAGATACAGCATGTCCACATTAATAAAGAAATGCAGAAGTAGCTATATTAATATCAGATAAAATAGACTTTAGAGCAAAGGCAATTGCTAGGGACAATGAAGTACACTACATAATAATAAAAGAAGACTTAAGATAATGAAGAAAGTAAGTGAGAAAACTAGCATTTAAAATGTTACCTGATTATGCTCTTTTCTCTTTTGCCAAAATAAGAAATTGCCAACATTTCCCAATAAATGGAGAAAGAGTGAGGCAATCTGGTAAAAGACTCAGCCACTTTATCTGCTGCAGCCTCCTGGCGTCAAAACAGTCTCCCTGTTTATAGGGCTGTCTGACCAGTTGTAGAGACACCAAATAACCAGATTTTTCCATTGTGTGCTCAAATGCCATCTTCTGCCTTTTTGGTGGTGGTTATCTCCTAAGTGTATTTTGTTAGTGAAAACTACAAGAGCTCTTAAGAGCTCCTTGTTCTGGCGTTGGCCCCTTGGTGAGGTTTGGACACTTGTTAGAATAGAGCACAGAGGACAAATCTATACTAGAAGGAACAGAGCACCTGTGTGCTTCCCCTAGAAATGCCTCCTCTACGATCAAGGCAGGGCCAAGTGGCAGAGACCAGTGTCCTCCCCAGCATGTTTGATCGGGCTGTTCTCCTTTGGTAGAATGAAAGGCCGTGATGCTCATGTCCATAACCTAGATCTCCTGCTACTTGCCAACACAGGTATCCATGGAGGCCCTGGATATCTGACGGAGCTCACATCCTGAAATGCTCACCGCACAGCCCTGCTGGCTCTTAGGAAGCAAACTCGCAGGAATAGCATTCTGACCATTCATTCATTCATTGATCCTAGATGCTGGGGCTATAACTGTGAACAAAACATACCCAAATCCCTGCTCTTCTAGAATTTGCATTCCAATGAAGAGGATGGTTTAACAAGTAATTATAATTGTTCCTGTGATGGGGCAAAGGTAGCAGTAAAATAAGCAAGGAAAATATGTGGAAGTTTAGACAGTAATGAGTGCTCTGGTAAAAAAAATAAAGCAGGAAAGGATGATAAATGGTGTTGGGGAGAGGGAGGGTTGCACGATTTTACATCAGGTGGTTGGGGAAGACATCGCTGAGAAGATACTCTTTGAGCAAAGACCTCACGGAGGTTGAGAAGCAAACTGTGTGATTAACTGGGTGCAGTTTGTTCTGGGAGGGGCAGAGGCACTGAGGCTGGGTCATGGCCAGTGAGTTCTCGGAATGTCAAGGAGCTGCTGTAGCTAAAGAGGTTGATGTATGTACGTCTGGGGTGGCAGCGGTAGGAGATGAAGAAGATGAAGGTGGGATCACACAAGGTTTGTGAACATTGAAAGGTCATTGGCTTTTTGCCTCAGTGAAATTTAGCACCGTTACAAGACTTTGAGCACAAAGATATGATCAGGCATTTTAACACGTCCCATGGCTGTTGTGTTAAGAACTACTATAGAGAGGCAAGAGTGGAAGCTGGGGCTGGCGAGGGGACACCCTTGCAATGCTGTAGGCAAGAAACCATGCTGCCTCGGACCAGGGTTGTGGCAGGGGAAGTAATAAGAAAAGTGGATTCTGGATATACCATGATGATTTAGCTAACAGGGCACCTTGCTATGTTGGATATGTGGGATGAGAGAACTAGAGGGGTCAAAAATGACTCTGAGGGTTTTAGAATTGGCAGGAAGACGTATGAAGTTACCGTATCTGAGACAGGAAACAATTGCAGGAGAAGCATGGGAGTGATGGCAGGAGGTGGTATTTAAAGCCCTAAGACTTGATGAGATGGTGACTAAGAGGGTGACTGTAGACAGAGAGAAGAGGTCCAAGGACCTTTAAAGGTTAAGTTAAGGAGGAAACAGCACAGGAGATTGAGAAGCAGCAGCCAGAAAGAAGGAAGCAAACCAGGTGAGTGCAATGTCCCAGAAACCAAGTGAAGGATATAAATAAAGGAAGAGGGAGTGATCGGCTGGGGCAACAGGCAAGTCATCAGTTACCTGGAAAGGAGCAGCATTCAAGTGATGGGGCCAAACACTTCATGAGGCTGAGTTCAAGAGAGAACAAAGAGAAAAACTGGAGACAATGAGCAAAACAACTCTTAGAAGCAGCTTTACTTGAAAGGAGAAAAGTTGGATTACAGCTGGAGGGATAAGTGGAGTTAATGGAGAGTTTTTTTGTTGGTTTGTGTTTAAGATGGGTGAAATTATACCATGTTCATGTGCCAGTCGGGAGTCTAGTGGGAGGAGCATAGGAGATGCAAGACAGAGAATTTCTGGAGTGGTCTCCAAATGCTCAGTGGAGCTGCTGACCCCTGATAAGAGTGGAACAGTTTATCAGTAACTCAGGAGGGAGGCCATGGTTGGGTTTCAGGTGCAGATGGGTGGGTGGAGATAGAATGAAGACTGTGGAAGATCTCTGATTTTGACTATTAAGTTGTTGAAGCAGGAAGCAAGGCCATGCTTGTATGGGATGACATAGTTCGGGGAGTTCTGAGGCGAGAGGAGGGGTGTGAAAGGTCATCTAGGAGAGGTCATGGATAAGACTGCCAGGCAGCTTGAAGAGTCTCCTGAACACTAGTGACCATGAACTTAAAGTGTGCCCAGTGGCATGGTTTGTGCATTTCTCCAGGTGCTTTGAACTGTCCAGGTGCAGATGTGGAACAGCGAAAGATGCAGATACCTCCACAGCCTTTCCAATACCTTCTGTGGGCAAGAAAACATCCTTCTTGCTTCCTTGTGTCTAGTTAGGACAGAAGCCCCTTGGTTACCTGTGGCTGGGTGGGTCCTCACCAGTTGTCATAGGTAGGCAGGAAAGGTGAGGGAAATTTCTCCCATAAGCCCTAGGTGGGAGCCATGAGCAGTGTCCCTTCTACAGGAGTCTTGGTTCTGGGAGTGGGCCACTGGGACTTTGATGCAGCACCTCTTCCTGGGTAAGAGTTTCTTGTCAGCTATGACCACCTTCCTCTTCAGCTGCTTTATTTTTGCATCTTCTCTGAAGTGGCGCTGTGGGAAGCCCACATATTACCTAATTGGTTTTCTCGTGGCATTCAGGCCCCTGCTACTTTCTCATTTTTTTTTTCTCCTGTATACTTTCAGGTTTGTGGTCCGCCAGTGTTCAGGATGCTGGTATAAATGAACAGTGTGGCGACATCCTCACCAATAAACGATTCATGCTGGACATGCTGTATGCCCATAACAGAAAGCCCACGGATGATGAGGAGAAGGGGGAGGGCGAGCCCGTGGGGACTGAGCAGGGGGCCGAGGCGGTGGCCAGCCTGGCCAGCAGGATATCCACCCTGCAGGCCAACTCTCTGGCCCAGGAAGAGAGCGTCAGGAGGGTGGATGTCGGCTGCTTGGACAATCGGGGCAGCGTGAAAGCCTTTGCTGAGAAATTCAACAGCGGGGACCTCAGGAGAGGGTCCATCTCCCCCGACACGGAGCCCAATGACAAGGTCTCAGAGAAAGCATCTGCACAGCCCAAGACGGAATCTGACTACATCTGGGACCAGCTCATGGCTAATCCGAGGGAGCTCAGAATCCAAGACATGGATTTCACCGACCTGGGGGAAGAGGACGACATTGACGTCCTCGACGTGGACCTGGGCCACGGGGAGGCACCGGGACCGCCTCCCCCACCCCCTCCGCCCCTGTTGGACAGTGTACCTCCCCCTCCAGTCCCTGGTAATTTATTGGCTCCTCCTCCGGTATTCAACTCTCCTCAGGGCTTAGGGTGGCCCCAGGTCTCCAGGGGTCAGCCAGCATTCACTAAGAAAAAGAAGACCATCCGCCTGTTCTGGAATGAAGTGCGGCCTTTTGAGTGGCCGTGTAAGAACAACCGCCGCTGCGGAGAATTCCTGTGGTCAAAACTGGAACCTATTAAGGTGGACACTTCCAGGCTGGAGCACCTGTTCGAGTCTAAATCTAAAGAACTGTCCGTCTCGAAGGTACCACTAGCATCCAGCATACCTCTTGATTTGCAGAGTTCCTTTCTGCGGTTGAGTAGGACTGAGAGATTTGTTGTATATAAAATTCCCTTTGTGTTGCTTTTGCTATTTGGTAACAGAAGAAACAAAAAAAGGCGGTTAGTATAAAACTCTGACCTTTAATATAGTATTCTTTCTGCCACCTGCTAGGTGTATGCTAAATGAATAAGGGACCTTAACAGCTAACATGGACAGCAGCTTAGTAACACCATTAGGCAAAGGAGCTTTCAAAGACCCAAATAACCTGGAAGAAAAGACAAAAAGGTTAAACCGGGAATATTAGCATAGTATGCTGGCAGATGTTGATGTCAACTTAGAGAGGAAAGTAGACTTGCTAATTTATCAAACACGTGGACTTTATCTAGGGTATGTGTTTGATTACTCTTACCTTCCTTGATTGTAGTTGATACTTGTAGCTTGAACCTCAGCTCTAACCACACAATGCTTTTGCAAAGGCAGTGATCCAAGTGACATTTCTTTGGATAATCCCTGGCTGAATCAGCATGATGCAACTATCTAGATGTTTCCAAATAGCCATAGGGTTAGCATCCTATCAATATTATGCATCCATCTAGATTTCTTATTTTTCATAAAGTTTGGGAATTCTGTCCATATTGCTGCTGTGGTATTTTGAACAGAGATGTTACATCCACTTTTATAAATAGAAAACACTCTACATGAAGTTATTGGGCATCAAGGGCAAAGTCATGATTAATGAACACTGATAAAGAAGCTGCAACGTACTGGATCGGAGATTTTATTTCTAATGATTTGCTGCATTAATCAGGTCTTCTTTACATGTCTTAAAGAACTAGGTTTTGTTTTCTGTTTTGTTTTTAAAGAAAGAAAGAAAGACAAGAAAGAAAGAAAGAAAAAAGCCCCTTGTGATTCTGGGTGTGTTATAGTTTTAAAACAGGCTTAAGAATATCATCCTCTCTTCTCAGGAACCAGGGGTATGAGAAAACATTTTGTAAAGTATAATTTAGAGTAAACATTCAAGAACTTATTAATTAATTCTAGCTCCACTTGTTGGTCCGTTTACCATCATTTGGGGTGAGTATAAAGCTGCCTGAGTCCGGCTCCCTCAGTCAGGCAAGGATTCTGAATAAAAAAGTATGTGCAGCATCCTCAGGGCAGGCATACCCTTCAAACAAGGAGCCAACTGACAGAGTTAGTGTCTGTTACCTCTGTGTGTTGCCAACAGGGCAGGTAGGGGAGCTATAATAGGTCAACTTCCTGTTAAAACTCGTGCCAGGAGTCTGGAACTATATGTGCTGCTCTTCCCGAGTTGACCTTTACCCTGGTGTCGATTTGTGCCCAGTCTCAGTGAGGATGTGAGTCTAAACTGTCTCCAGCCTCAGGAATCCCCCCGAGTCAGAATTACAGCTTTCCCCTGTTTATGAATTCAAACCTCTAGAATCCAGTGCAGAAAATCATGCCAAATCAATTTGTACTTTCTTCAGCTGAAAGCAGACCCCCTTTTGTCCTCTCTAGAAAATGACCCTTAGGAAAGTGATGCTGGGTACCTGCTCTCGGTGTCTCTGTGTCCTGACTTTCCCAGGTCTGGTAACATGTGGTGCAGAGCCACCCATGTGTCCCCTTCAGTTCTTAAAGTCAACCCTGGCATGTGGGAGAAGACTGGCCTTGCTGGGTTAAAATAGCAGTCTCTGGTTGCCAAGAATTACCCAGCACTTGACCTCAGTCACTCCACCCTCCAACCCACTGATCTAGTTGGCTGGTCTTCTTCCTCCGCCTCCTTCCCCTGTGGCCTCCTCTGGCTGACTGCACCCTCTCGGCCTCCTCTGGTTGCTCATCACTCTTGGAGGTTGGTGGACAGAGGCTGGCCCTTGACTCTAGGTAGGAGGAATAAAAGGGTTTAATAGTTTGGCAGTGAAGGCACTTCTGACTTCATTTTTACAAACGAATGGCAAGATGAAAAGCTTCCTTGAGAAGGTCCAAAATGGACAGTTCTCTTACTTTCCTCCTTTTCTTGTCCTGCTATGGTCGGTGATAAGAGTTTGGCTGTGCCCTCTCAGCAGCCCAAAGTTCCATTCTTTTTTTTTTTTTAAGATTTTTTTTTTTTTTATTAAGGAATTGGAGAAAGGGAACAGTGTTGGGGAATTTGGGAATTTGGGAAGGGGAACAGCCAAGTTGTTGTCCTTCAATCTTAGTTGTGGAGGGTGCAGCTAGCTCAGCTCCAAGTCCAGTCGCCATCCAGCCACCTGTTGGCAGCTCAGGACAGCTCAGCTCAAGGTTCAATCAGCTGTGTTCAATCTTAGTTGCAGGTGGGCATAGCCCACCATCCCATGTGGGAGTCGAACTGGCAACCTTGTTAGGAGCACATGCCCTCACCAGTTGAGCTGTCCTGTCACCTGTTGGCAGCTCAATGGCGGCTCACCTCGGGCACAGATCACTGGCCCATGCAGGAATCCAATCGGTGACTCTGTTCCTCAGAGTTCGCACTGCTAACCAACTGAGCCACTCGGCCGGCCCCAAAGTTCCATTCTTGCTTGAAGTAGGTGTTGACCTCTGAAAATACTTTATTTCCTAGCTAAAGGACAAATATTTGCTTAGTTTTAATAAAGTGAGAGCATAAGAAGAAAGTAATATATTGAAAAATTTTACCAAACTTATTCTAGAATGTTCTACATCAGGACCCAAGAGCCCATACCTTTGTTTTAGGGGAATGGGAAATGTGAGCAAGGGCTAATTTACAACTGTTACAAAAAGTGAGAATGCAAATTAGGATTAAAACACAGCACACTGCAGAGTTGAATCCGTTATGGGCATGTTACCACTGCAAATATGACCAATTTTACTTCTGTTTCTAGTCCTTGACTGTGATTTTCATAAAACACAGTTATAAACAGCCACTTCCGAATTCTGCTCTTGAGAAGTTTTTCATTAAACACAACAGAGTGCAACAAAAATAAAGTGAAATAGATTTCACAAGACAGCACAGAGCAAAGGGAATCTGTTTAAGTTTCCGTCAGAAAACTTACACAAGACCAGAGTGAAGGGCATGGTTATGACCATTCCAGGCACCCCTCTCCGCCCCCATACCCCCCAAACAAAGATTCATGTGCCAGAGCCAAGGCTGGGTCACCACTTAATGGAAATGATAAGAACAGAAAGATGTGTTTTTTGATTTCCTTTCCAAATAGTTTCTGGAACCGGATCTATTTTTCTCTCTCTCAGCAGGAAGCATATATATAGCTTTTTAGTAAGATGATTTTAATTATGTTTTGTGAAGACAGAAACCCTGTGCTAAATTTCATCATGTTGTGTTTCTACTATTGGTGTAAGATATGGTGAATGAATCACATAGGAGGTAAAGTGACCCCAGAGAAAGATGTCAGGGCAGAAAGCCCTTGAGGGTATGGGGATGTACCCTTCATGGATGTGGCCTCAAGTGGCCTTCCAACCTGTGTGCCCTATCCAGGGCAGCACAGTCCCTCCCGCTCCCGAAGGGCAGCTTTTACATCCCAAGTTACCGACAGACCAGAAGAGCAGACCAGAAGGAAGAGGGGGACTTGGCTTTTCCTTTGGGGACTCAAAGCTGTTTTACTCCCTTGAATTCACTGGGTTTATCATGCAGAAGGGGCTCCAGAATGGATTTGGAGAAACTTGTTCAACTTTATTTACTCTGAAGTTTCTAAATGTATCAGAAACTATTAGCTGTGACACTTTAAGAAAATTCTGAAATGAGGATGTCTTGGTTAGGGTACTAGATAAACTACATTAACATTGGAAATCTAACTATTTTACAGTTGGCCTCTGCTATACAAGACACAAAGGGCAAGTATGGGAAATTAATACTCGTTCTCCGACACTTAACAATGAAGCAAGCCTGTTCTGGCAAGTGCCTCAGATACTTTAGTCCAAACTAAAGGTGTTCCAGCCTTTGTTTAGACTTAGTTGCTTTTGTTGTTGTTTTGGTTTTTGCCTTAATGCTTTCCCATGTA